TGTTTTACATGCATCGGTTGGCGCATCTGCTGCAAGCCTGCAACTCTCTAACAATTCCTCGGTGGAAGTAGAGGGGTAAATTGGGCCGTGCCGCCCTTGGCCCGGCACGAATTTGGACTGGCCTGGCATGACGGTCTATGGATCGTATCAGGCCCGGCAAAACCATGCGGGCTGTGCTAGGTCTGGGATTTTAGGTCCACAGGCCAGTACGGCATGATACGACACGAGTGAACGAGTTGTGCCAGTTAGGTCCATGGGCCAGCATGGCATAGTACGACCAAGCGGGCCGTGCTGCACTCAGTAGTTTAAAAAATTTGCCCTTAATAATATGTTTTACATGCATCCTTTGGCGCATCTGCTACAACTCTAACAAATTCTCGGTGGAAGTAGAGGTGTAAATTGGGCCATGCCGCCCGTGGCCTGGCACAGCCTAGCACGACGGTCTATGGGCCGTGCTAGGCCCATGACGACCATGCGGGCTATGCTAGGCCTAGGATTTTAGGTCCATGGGCCGGCATGACACAACACGACTAAGCGAGCTGTGCCAGTTAGGTCCATGGGCCGGCATGGCACAGCATGATCGAGCGGGCCGTGTTGCACTGAGTAGTTTAAAAAGTTTGTCCTTAATAATATGTTTTACATGCATCCTTTGGCGCATCTGCTGCAACTCTCTAACAAGTCCTCGGTGGAAGTAGAGATGTAAATTGGGTCGTGCCGCCTGTGGCCTGGCACGAACTTCAACTGGCCTGGCACGACGGTCTATGAGTCATGCCAGGCCCGGCACAACCATGCGGGTTGTGCTAGGCCTGGGATTTTAGGTCCACGGGCTAGCACGACACAGTACGACTGAGCGAGCTGTGCCAGTTAGGTCCATGGGCCGGCATGGCACAGCACGACCGAGCGGGCCATGCCGCTCGCAGCACGGCCCGTGGCACAACCCATATATATATTTTATATATATTTATATTATATATATATATATATTTATATATGTTTTATATATATTATAATTATATAATAATATATAGTATATAATATATTAATAAAATAAATATTTTTTTTAATTTTATTATACTAATTTATTTAATTATTGCCTATATAAGCAATTTTATACACAAAATTCATATAAAATTAAAATTTTAAGTTTTTTTGCCCATTTTTTTAAATAAATAGTTTTGGCTTGATATACGACCCGACTTGGCCCAAGGCTTAACCCACGGGCTAACCCAACTTGTGGCACGGCACGGCATGACACAGGCCCACATGGGCCCGGGCCATGGGCCGTGCCAGACCGACCCCCAAAATTTTCACCGGAAAAGCAACACGGCCCATAATGGCCCATGGGCCAACATGACACAGCCCGCATAAAGTGCGAACCACCAACGTGCCGTGCGGCACGACCCACCCTCTAAGTGGAAGTAGGATATGTCAGGGATAGAAATAAATTGGTAAAATCATCTAAACTGCACACCAGCGTGCTTATGTTTCATTAGGGATTGCAAGGGGGTGGTGTGACTATTGTCACAACATATGTGAACTCCAGACTTTCTAATATTTTAATAGTCGTTTTCAATAAAGAAGAGGATCAGTACCCTTGAATCAAATGCCCTTCAAGTATCATCTAATTTTCTTTATCAACCATCTATTAATAGGTGATCCCAGGTGTTCCATTACCAATTAATAAAGTAACAACTGTGTAACAAATGCCCTTCAAATTAAACATATTTCAACACTCATCAGTCTTAGAAGGAAAAACTGGGAATCCTCCTTTAATAAACAAAGTGGTGTGAGTCATTGGTTCGGTGGCCAGAGACCGTCCAAACTGGTTCAACTGAATATGTATTTTCTGTATACATCCGTAGCATCAATGCTGATATTTGATGTTATTTTCTATATTCGATTGAGTGCGGTACGACCGAAGGATGTGCCAACACAGTCATCTGACTCAAAGTTCATTAAGTATAAACCATCATAACAGTCAGCAGTATTCAATTCAGGTGAAAAAGAAAGAATAATTAGAATGGTTTTCGGTTGTGCCAACACAGTCATCTGACTCAAAGTTCATTAAGTATAAACCATCACAACAGTCAGCAGTGTTCAATTCAGGTGCAAAAGAAAGAATAATTAGAATGGTAGAGATGCCAGTTGATCCACTTGAGCCACCAAAGTTCAAGCACAAGTGTCCCAAAAGATTATACAATCCCACTTGATAAACCCCAAACTCTGAAACATTCTATAAGAAGGGGGTAGAGAGATAAAGCAGAGCATAAATACCAGAACAGCTGTTATATGTAGTGAGCTTGTATATTAAGGCCATGATCCCCGTCCAATGAATCGCTTCAGAAGCGACGAAGAAGTGGTGAGCTCCTCCTCCTCCCCATGCCTTCTTGACTCTTCTTTTTCTCTCCCCAACAGAATATAGAGCTTCAGAGAGAGAGAAAAAGAGAGAGGGATTGAGCAGAAAAATAATACAATCCCACTTGATAAACGTCTTGTAGCAGATGGACAAGGCCTTCAAGAAGTCCAGATTAATGACAATTTTGCCAAATTTTCTGAGGCATTATATGTAGCGGAACAGAAAACTAGAGAAGCTGTTGCAATGAGATCAAATGTCCAAAAGGAGATGTTGTTGAAGGAGAAGGAAAGAAAGGAGTAGAGGCTGCGAGAATTGGCTCAGAAAGCTCGATCTGAGAGGACTGGGGGTGCGCCACCCCTGGCAGCTGTTCCCATCCCTACTGATAGGACAATGATGGATGGTGTGATGTGAGAGGGGATCATGAAAGAGTGAGGGAAAAAGAGGAGACTCTTGAGAGTTTGGGCTGTGTTTCATTTTTTTTGATAAAGAAGACGATGAACAGTGTATTTTATTTTCAAGGGTAATTTTGACATTTTCAAAAATCATAAATCACACATGGGGTCCCGTGATATACATAACCGATGGTCCATTAACGGTAGATACTAAATTGTTGCATATCAAAAATTTGGATATTAAATTGTCGCATTTTAAAATTCGGATACTAAATTGACACTCGGCCACCTAAAATACAGGATACCTATCAGGAATTTTCCCTTTTTTTTTTATTTGGTTGTTGGAGGTTCTTTCTTTGACTAAAAAAACAATAAAAAAAGGTTGTTTTTAATAAATTAATTTGATGGGAGAATAAAATTGGCTACAATCTTTCCCTCAACCTTTTTTACGTTTCTCTTATTTTCTATCAAATCTTCCTTGCATGAATTCTTTGATAACAATTGAATTTACAGAATTGCTGTTTTTGAATAAAATATAGTTAAATAAAAAAATTGGCCCCCATAACCCGCTAAACAGCCATGCATCCTGTTCAGCTAATCCGAATTTATAACAGATAAAGCAATAACCTTTAACCTTTTCAGTACAGACACTTCAACTGTTAAACAGTAAAGATGCCCTTAAAGTGAAGTGTTAAGGTCGTCTATGTCTAATTATTTCCTCCCAGCTGATAAAGCCCGAGTCTTATCCTTATGAAACAGTGGCTTTATTAAGAATTCATCGATGAAACAAGTGGCCCCCGGCTCTTGCAGCTCTCTTGGTAAGGAGAATAGATTAGCTGAACACTATAATTGTTCAGCCAGCTTTGAAGCTAATTATAACAATCCACCTCAATAATAAACATTAGACCACAACCATTTAATTTCTCAATGTGGGATTTATGTATTTTTTCACGGGAGTGGGGTGTTATCATTGGTTCCACAGCCTGTTAAGCAATCATCACGTTCAGCTAATATGACTAAGGTTGCTCAATTTTCAAAAAAGCCATTAACTTCTCTTCAATTTTGATAGTCAATTCGTGGGGGAGGGGAAAGGGGGGCAGAATTGCAACTAAGAAAATTTCAATTGATTTTTTTCCGTCGCTTTACAAAATTAAGATGACAATACCCTTGTGTTAAACTCATTGGATTGGGACCTCTAAGCTCGAATTCTAGAATGTTAAACAAGTTTTAATTTAAATGTCCATTTGGTTCACAGTTGAAATCAGAATCAAAATCAAAATCAAAATCAAAATCTTTTAGAATTGGAATTAGAATGGTCCATTCCTATCTGTTTGATTCAGACAGGAATGAGAATAGAAATGAGAGTCAACATAAATGAGATTTTATTCTCAAGGAAGAGGCAGAGAAAAGACATTCCCTCAAATGAGAGAATGCTATTCCAGCAAGAACGGGAATGAGATTCCAATTCCATGCAACCAAGCAGTTGGAATTGAAATATCCAATTCCAGACCTTTATTCCCACGAACAAAATGGGGCCTAATACAATCCTCTTCATCAAGAACTATAGCTTTGGTGAATCAAGACAGATTACATAAATGGTTCGACCATATTAATTCTCGACTCCTAAGTTTAGCTCCAGCTCACATCTTGAACATCACAAGAGCATTTCTAGGGCCTAGGGCTACTGTGAAAGTCCCATAGCGGCTAGCGGATTCATTACTCTTTAGCTTCTCTATATCTATGCTACTGTAAAAAGCATAAATGCTCTAACAAGATTTTTGTTGGACATAAATACCCTTTCATATTAAATGAGAGCAAAAATTATTTCAAAAGCCTATTAAAGAAAACAAAATTTTATCAGAATTTATCGTTAATTGTAACAAACTATGATTAATTACAATCTATTATCTCCCTTTAAAATTTCATTTTTCTTGTCAAAACAAAATTAAATGGACAGAAAAGCAAAGCTTTTGCCACAAAATTGAAGGCATTAATATATAGCTGGACTTTCTGAAAACCTGTATGCCCATTTTTCAAAACAAAAATAGCCTTATCTTTATGTATAATATTGGGTCAATTTATGTTAGTCTTTGGATTTGCCCAAATTTAGTTAAAGCCAATGTAGGGCCCATTTGGAAGTACCAAGATTTTGGTTGAGTTGCTTTAATTGAACAACTTTTTTTTTTTTTTGCACGGAATAAAAACGATACCATTACTAGCACAAGATTACATAGAGTTTTCAGATCTACCCATCTTTGAAACTATTAACATTATATTTACAAGCTTGACAGGCTAGAGTATGGGCAACAGCGTTTGCATTTCTACTAATATGGGTTACATATACACTATCAAAAAAAGTTAATTTTGATCTGACTTCCTCTTGGATATGCAGCACATTCCAGTCAACCGTACCATCTTCCTTCAAACTATTTACTACAGTAGCTGCAGCACAAAAGGTTAAGAGGCTCTTAATTCCCAGGTTAATAGCCTTCTTCAAGCCCATGAGGAGAGCCCACCATTCTGCTTGGGTTGCGGAAAAGCCCTGAACTCTCCTTCCTTCAACATATATGACATTCAGATCTTTAGATAACACTATAAAACCGATACCTGTATGACCAGAAGTTGGAATGTTAGATCCATCAACAAACATGATATGAGTTATTTGCTGATGATGATGACAAGATGGGATCTGTGTATTCGTAGCATTATTAAGACTTGGAATGCAATAAGAGTCAGCCAGATCCACTAATTGGATTGGATCCAATGTTTGTTTATTATGAGCTTTTTGATTCCTCATATCCCATATAAGAAGAAAGATTATAAAGAACTTTGCAACATAGCCCATTTGAACTTTCTTAGTCAGAGAGTTAAGTGTTGTGCCAATCCATCTATAAACAAAAGAAGACAATTGAACACTACGAACTTCTGCTGGGTTGACACCGATTTGTGCTGCGAACTAAACTGCTCTGGCATATTGGCATTCAAAGAATAAGTGTTGCCAAGTTTCCTCTTTATAAATATAGGTTGTGCAATATCTGTCTTGGATTTAAAGAAACCTCAGTTTATCTTTTGTGCTCACACTGTGCCACCAAGCCTTCCACATGAAGACTTGGAATCTGTGAAGCACTTTGGCCTTTCAAATGATTCTCCATGGAGAAGTACAAAGTGAAGAAGAGGGGAGATGGCCTGTGAAAAATTTATAACCAGAACTCATAGTGTAATTACAATTATTAGAGCTCTTCCACTTCAATAGATCAGGTAAGTCTTCTTGTGGTCTTTGTAATTGTAGAATATGATTAACTGTGTTTTCTGAGAATAAAAAAGATAGTAACCAGATATCTCAGCTTCCATCAGGATTCAATAGCTCCTTGACAGGACCATTTCCTTGAATTTGTTGATATCCGTTCCTTAACTCAGGAACCCCCTCTCTTAGGGTTGGGATCCAAGGGTCCATGATGTGACAGGAATTGCCATTTTGAAATTTCCAAAAGAAATTTCTTTTCATCCTGTCCAATGTGAAAACCACCTTCTTCCACCAACTTGAATCATTTGGTGAAGATTTCAGATTGAAAATTGAATTCTTTTTGACATATTTTTCTTTTAGTAACTTTATCCATAAGCCCTTCTCTAAGGAGAATAATCTCCAAACTTGATTTGCAAATAGAGCTCCATTAAACTCCCACATTCTTCTAAAGCCCAAGCCACCCTAATGTTTAGGTCTGCATATTTTCTCCCAGGAGATTGAATGGATTACTACTTTGTTAGAGGATCCCTCCCACCAAAAATTTCTTTGGAATTTCTCAATTTTTTTTATAGTATGTTTTCCAAGGATTGTTGTGCCCATTACATGGTTAGGGATGGCCTGTAGGACATATTTGACTAAAGTAGTGTGCCTCGCCTGTGATAATAGTTTGGCTTTCCACTGAGCTAATCTAGATGATATTTTTTCCAGGATTTCATGATGCGCTTCAGTAGACCTACCTTGAAAACTCACCCTTGCTCCCAGATATTTTTCCTGTGCTTTCATGTGTTTCATATGTAGGATTTGGAGTAGAAATATCTTTTTTTCTCCTATGAACACAACTGCTGAATTGGGCTCCAGATTTTGACAGGTTCATTTTTTTCCCCAGATAACTCTTCAAATTTTGCTAATATTTTCTTAACTTTTCTGGCTTGACTTGTTTCTGCTTTGCACATGATTAGATAGTTATCTGCAAATAGGAGGTGAGATATAGGGGTTCCCCTTCTACACAGCTTGAAAGCCTTCAACTCCTTATTTCCCTCATCTTGATCAAAAAGACCAGACAAATCTTGCATCCCTATAATGAACAAATATGGGGATAGGGTCCCCTGTTTCAGTCCATTTGGCAGCTCAAAAATTCTTTTTGGGTTCTATTGATTTTTATTGAGAATTTTGGGGAAGAAATGCAAAACTCCACTAGCTTACACCATTGTTTTGAGAAGCCCAGCCTTCTAACATTTTCAAGACAAAATCTCTACTTCTGTGGTCATAATCACTTGACATATCAATTTTAAGGATCATCTATCCTACCCCTTCCTCTGCTTCCTTAATAATATTGTCAGTTCCTTGCCTCCTTTTGACAAAAGCAGCTTGGTTAGGGGCAATTAATTTGTCCAACACTGGTTGCATTCTTGCCACTAAACACTTTGATATTATTTTGTAGAGGACATTACAAACACTAATTGGCCTAAATTGTTGAACATTTTCAGGATTTATTTTATTTTTGCGATGCACACTGTGAACATAGGAAAAACCGGTTCACTTTGCCACATGGGCTGGAAACGGAGTAGCCACCCATCAGATTAAGAAATGGAGGTGATGGGACCTCCGGATCAACATCGGAAAGCATGCTTGGTTTAGTAGTGACTCCAAATAACCCAATGCACTGGTCCGGCCAGTCCAGGTAAGACTTGGATGGGAGAGGGAAGGGGTTAGGCACCCCTCTCCCGGCTCCGAAGGTGGGGCCCACATGGGAAACTGAGGACAAGTATATATAAACCAAAGGAATTAAAGAAACTAACAGTTCTGAATTAATTAAAGGCCAAAATCATATTATTAAACGAAAATAATCCGAACAAAGAACTAACAGTCTACCATTATTATAGAGAGCCTACAATTTCCAATACGCCGCATGCTGAATAGAAAACTCAGAGAACATAAAATGTCATACTAATGGTTCGGCAAAGCAGTATAACCGGAAGACGACTCAGAGAACATAAAATGAAGATAACTCAGAGAACATAAAATGTCATACTAATGGTTCAGCAAAGCAGTTTGATGAAACGCATCAAAGAAAAAGCGGTAGAACTATTCGGCAAAACAGTGAGCTACATACACTGATGATTCGGCAAGATACATCAGATAAAATTTAAATAAAATGAGACCAATACAGAAACAGGGGAACACAACTGAAACTAAGATTTAAACTACGATAAGCAAAGACGGATTCAAATATATATATATATATATATATATATATATATATAGTAGTGTTAGTACTACTACTACTACTAAAATGGTTAAAAAAAAGAAAAAAAAAATCAGAGGAGATTGATGAAAGGGAGAAACTAGCATTTCAGATAAAGAAATAAACAATCCAGCATCGCAGAGAGAACAGATCAACATATGCGAAACTAACATTCAAACAAGATAGGATTCAGAAGGGTAAATGAGCCTACCGGGAATCGGCTCTTCCCGTTATTCATCCCTACTATCCTGATTTGTGCTGATTCCCTAAGACGTCGCCGGATACTACAACGGCTGCCCAGACTTCGATGGGGAGAAGGATGGTCCGCTTCTGATTGAGAAGAAACTAAGATTGTCCGGCAGGTAGAACACCGATATTGCACAGGGGATTCAGCCCGAATAGGGGTTCGTTCTGCAACTCTTCGGTTTTGCGTTGAAGGAGTGATAAATGGCAAACGACACTGGCGATGGAGACCGTAATGTATTTTGGAACAACAGGAAATAGAGGGAAAGAGAGGAGGAGCATTGATGGTGGTAGAGCTTCGTCTCACAGCTGCTATATGGCTGAGTCTGGCGGAAACGAAAGAAAAAAAAAGGAGAGCAGGACGAAGGCGAAAAAAGTTGGAATGTAAGGGAGGGAGCAGCGAACCGAAGGAGGAGGACGGCCTCCCTTGCTCCGCCGCTAGTCGCGCGAGGAAGAAGATGAACAGTCTTCTCCTTTGCGCGGCTCCCCTGTTCGGACAAATCCTCTCTCTATTAGGTTTAATTAAGAGTCATCTTGTTGTTATATGGAGGTAGGGGACTATTTTGTAATTTTTCAAAAATGGGGGTATTTTGTAATTTAGAAAAGTTCTGGTCAAACCGGATCCGAGAGTGGTCAAATCGGGGTTCTTGATGGACGGCTGAAGTTTTGGTTCAAAAACAAAGGAGGGTTGAGGTGGGTGTGACCGGAACGGGGGTTCTGTATGTGGGGGCTAGTGCGATTGCCCCAAACAGAATCTTCTTGGATGAAAGGGTGAATGAGGGTATTTTTGAATGAAATTTCATAGGATAGGTTTCTTGGGCATTCTGAGGTGATCAGTAAGGTCAAATTGAGTCAACTGGACCAGGATCAGGCGGATTTGAAATCCGGTCAATTCGGAGTCTTGAAATGGAATCTTTGTGTGATCGAGGGGAAATGAAGGTGCTTTGAGCTGGAATTTCTCAGGTCAGGGTTTTTGGATAATTTGAGGTGATTGGTAAGGCTGGGTTGTGCTGACTGGGCCCGGATCGGGCGGATTTGGAATCCAATCAATCTGGAGCCTCGAAATGGAATCTTTATGTGATCGAGGGAAAATGAAGGTGTGTTTTGGGCTGAAATTTCATATGTAGGGGTTTTTTGGTATTTTAGGGTGATTGGAAAAGTTTGATTGGTTTAGATGTGTTTGGATCAAGTGGATATGGATTGTGGGGGTGAGAATGGTCGAAATGGAATCTTTGTTTGATGGATGAGTGAACGAAGGGATCTGGAGTTCAAATTTCATGGGTAGGTGTTTTGGGATGTCCCGTGTCTGATGGTTGTGTCTGATGAAATGGATGAGGTGTAAGTGAGGGTCAATCGGGGCCATCGGATAGGTATCGAATAGGTTTAACGGTGAATTTAAGGGCTCTCGGGGTGGAATTTGGGTTTTCTGGGTTTTTTTGTATTTCTGAGAGGTTGGAAGGGTCTGATCGGGTGTTTGGGGTGAATTGGAGGCTTAGACTGCGGACCGAACAAAAATCGAGTACTGACACACACTAAATTTGTAGAATTCAAATTTAAGAAGAACTGTCTAACTAGAGAGTGAGAGTAGACATCATGTTTTACAGTACTCCAAAACTTTTAAAAGAAAAAGGGAGTAAGCCCATCAGGGTCAAGGGCTAAGTGGGCTCTTAATGATTTAACTATTTATTCTATTTCTTCATTCGTGGTGGGTTTGTCATCTCTGCAACTTCAGGTTCACTGATTTTAACATGAATTAAGTTTTGTATCTCCACTTCATCATCATGAGTCTCACCACTTGCCCGGATGAAATGAGATTTAAAAGCACCAGCCACCTCCTCTAATTCCATGATTACTCCCTTATCATTTTTAATGCAATCCAAGGAGTTTGTTGTTATTTTAAAATTTGTCAGCTGATGAAAATATTTTGTATTTTTTTCTCCCTCACTGAGGCACAGTTCCCTAGATTTTAATCTCCTCCTCATTTTCTCCTCTCGATGAAGCCATTTATCATATTCCCATTGAAGTCTCATTCTTTCAAAGATGGAACCAGAGGTTTCCTCTTCCTCAAAATCTAAAATTTTCTCCTCCAGCAGCTTCAATCTATCTTCAATTTTGCTGAATCTTCCCTTATTCCATTATCTTAATTTTATTTTACATTTCAAGGGGTAGGCAAACCTCTATCTAGTTTTTCTAATACTTTGTGATAACCTTTATTTGCCATTTGTGTAGGTGAAAGTAGAGCCCCCCGCTTCTATCTCCATTAAACCATGTTTTTGTATAAGTTGGTTTAAAGGTGTAGAAGTTCTCATCCTTATGTTTTTCCTTCCTTTATAATCCGAACTCTCAACAAGGTCAGTTAGGTCACCTAACAAAACCCAATTTTGTTGGTTCCCCAACAGATGTTTTAACTCGCTCCAGAATTGCTGCTCTCTTTTACTCTTCATTGAATGGCCATATACAAGACATAACCACCAATTCATATTTGATGTTAAGAATGACAAATCTGTCTGATTTATCAATTAATTGGACTGACAGATCATATTTCCAACCACAGTAGAGACTTCCAAATAAACCTTTTGCTGGCACCCCACACCAGAAATCATATCCCATCCTTTTACTCAGTTTTCCTAATTTCTCTATATCAGACTTTGTTTCAGAAAGGAATACAATATCTGGGTTATGATTTTTTATTTGTTTGTGTAAAAACCGGGTTGTACTGGGACCGCAACAACCCCTTATGTTCTAAGAAAAGACTTTCATTTCTGAACTCAGGGATTTACTTGCTAAATGGTGAATGATAAGGAAAACATAATAAACAGGAGTAGAAATTACTTGCATTAGTTCAAGGAGTGGTTGTTAGGAAAGGATGGGATTAAATCTCCAAGACCTTTGTTGTAGATACCTTCTCCTAGCTTTTCGATCTCCACTCCTCCCACCATGAAGTTTCCATTTACTGCATTTTATCTTGCACTACTAGGCTCAGCTTAGGGAGCCCTAACCTCCATCAGGCTCCAGAACAAAATATTTTCCTTGTGGGACGGAACCTTATTCTCCATAGTCCATACCATCAGGTGCTAGGATGAGATTTATATTTCAGGTCAAAAATGTATTTCTTGGGTCGGCCCAACTTCGTGAGTCCCAAATCCAGATCCAAACACCCAAACCCTCTTGTTTCAACGATATAAACTACCCATTCCCTCTTATGCTAGTTGTTCATATACGGGTATTTCAATTTGACCCACCCTCCACCTTTACACTAACCTCTACATTGAAAACTACGTTTTCAAAAAGTTCTGATCCAAAACGCCACACGCTTGAGCTTAAGAACACATGCCCAATATTTGTCATCAATTAGGTGTTGTTGCACTCTTCTAAACCTTCCACTTTCGAGTTGAGCGAGTTGACTCGCTTGAGTTAGGTGTCGGAATTAGTTGAAGAGACCGAGATGTACCTTTTCTTTGCTTCTGGTTGGTCGCCGATCTATTAACCAAGCAATGCCATTTTTGGGCCTCCATGCATGTTGTTGGTTCCCTTTTACCACCACTTTGTTTGCTAGCATTTGTGCCCATTGTAAGCTCAGTTCCTTGCCTCAGCCTTTCACCATCTTTCTTTTACCCATCAGATCCACCATGTGAGCCCTATAATTGGAGATTCTTTAACTGAAGACTCTTCTACTAAGGCCAGAGTTAATCTCCTGTAAAAAGAAACAAAACACCAAAGCTAGTTGATGAGCAAACTACAACAGGATAGACTCTAGAGATGCTAACCCCCGGCAAAAATAGTTAATATTGCATGATGATACTCGAGGACAAATAGAAAAAGCTAGACCTAGGAAAATAGGAGAGGAAAAACTATAAGAACTAAATAGGGACTAAGAAATTAATATGAAGAAAGCTGAGAGGTGACACTAAATGACTCCTTGAAAAAAGAGGATATACACGTGAGAAAAACCTAACACATACTCAGAATAGCTAGGCCACACTCATGTTTATAGAAGAAACGGGGAAACAAGGAGTGGATAAAACAAACTACTTATTAGATTGAGTTAGTCAAGCGAACACAATTGAGAAATCAAACAAAACTTTTTTGAATAAAAATAATTAGAAACAAGCAAGCTCAAATGTTGAGTTCAAAAAAGCAAGCTCAAATGCTAAGTTCTGAAAAGCAAACTCAACGTTGGAACATCCTCATGGCTCGTTAGTTCCTGGGGACTCAAAGCATCCAATTTTGTAATTTAAGATTATTCTAAAGTATATAATTCCATTTTTATAAAAGAAATGAGAACATGAGAATACGTGTATATAATTCCATTCTTTAACTGGGGCTCGTTAGTTCCTGGTTTAAAGGAGTCAGTTTAAGTACCGGCTACCCTCTGAACCATGGTCTGACCTGATACAACCCTTGTAGGGGCATATCGGGAAACCATCGACACGATACATATCAACCGATACTGGCCAATACGTGTCGATACTTTGAACCTTGCCCCTATATTGAACTGAATTTTTTTATTTGACTTGAAAATTAAATTAGGGGACCTATTTGTTATCCATATGTTAAGCCTTAAAAATCTTTTGAGCTGCCTTTTTCCCCCTTTTTCTTATAACTTGGGAAACTAATCAAATTTGACTTGTAATAAAAGGTTCCAAGCTTCCTTTCCAAATTTGAATTAAAAAATTAGATCTATATTATATAATCCTTTTTTTTTCATGTGTAAGGTTAAGTGCCTAATCATGTACACGTCTAGCCCTCGTCAACAGGCCAGGCTATCAAACTTGAACAACCAAAGTTTTCCTTCCTTTCTCGAGGACTTTTTTGTTAGTTAGGTAAATTGCTAAAACCTCTAAAGTTTTTGATTATTGCTGAAACCTCCCCTAAAGTTTGATAATGGCAATTACCTACCTTGAACTTTCAGACATAGTTCCAAGTAGACCCCCTTTGTTAGAATCATCTAAAAAAGAGACATGAAAATGTCCCAAATACATATGCAATTGCTTTGACCTAAATGTTTATTTTCCAAGTTTTTTCTACATATACCTGGAATCCTTCCAATCTCTTTTCTGAAATTGATTTATTTTTCAAATATGCCTTTCATACCAATTGTTGATCAAAGATAAAGCTGCAACTTTTAAATTCTCTTCTTTTTGGTTTTTGTAAAGTTTATATTGTTTTTTCTGTAGGAACCAACTTCGATAGTAGTTGCATGCCTATTTTGGACATTTTTCTTAGGAACCAACTTCGATAGGGTGTCTACTTGCAACTATGTCATAAAGTTAAGTTTCATCAATTTACCCTTGTTAGTTTGTTAGGTAGGAGAGGATTTTTTTTTTTTTGTGAGTCCCACTATCATACCTTAAAAACCGATAAGGCAATATGTTGGAAGTCTTTAGATATTTTGCTACTTATTTGTCCTAATCTAAGGGGTTGTTAGCTAGCTGGTCCTATTTTTTGGTAACAGTTGGTAGTGGAGTGAATAAGACCAAATCTTTAGCTGAATGTTTTCTGTTAGTGGGTCCTAGCTTTAAGTATAAGTTTGTTAAGAATTGCACTATATATAGAGCATCAGATTGTAAGTGTTACATGGTAGTAGGTGAATAAACAAAGTCTCTTGTTTCTACTCTTCATTTATCATTGGTATTAGAGCTTGGTAAAAGAAAGTGTGAGAGAGTCGCATTAGAGAATTTGTGAGATAAAGTGTGGTATAGCAATAGCTATTTTGTTTAGTGTGATATAGTAGTATCTACTTTGTTTCATTTTGTTTTGTCTTTGCAGCAGCAATGAACGATGGCCACCGAAACTTTGTTCAACCGGCTATTCCCCGCTTCGATGGTCACTATGATCATTGGAGCAAGTTAATGGAGAATTTTCTCAGATCCAAGGAGTATTGGCAAGTTGTCTCTGAAGGAATTACGGAACCAACAACTAACACAACAATGACAGATGCAAAAAGAAGGGAGTTAGAAGAACTACGGCTGAAAGATCTCAAGGCAAAGAATTATCTTTTCCAAGCCATTGACCGCTCAATCTTGGAAAACATCCTTCATAAGGACACCTCCAAGCATATTTGGGATTCTATGAAGAAGAAGTACCAAGGTTCCACAAGGGAAAAGAGGCAGCAGTTCAAGCACTTCGTATGGAGTTCGAAACACTTCGAATGAAGTCGGGAGAATCGGTAACAGATTATTTCTCTTGAACAATGGCGATCATGAACAAGATGCAGACCCACGGTGACAAGACGGAGGATGTGACCATAGTAGAGAAGATTCTTTGATCCATGACACCAAAGTTTAATTTTGTTGTTTGTTCCATAGAAGAATCTCATGATATTGATGAACTTTCGATTGATGAATTACAAAGTTCTTTGTTGGTTCATGAGCATAAAATCAACCAGTAGGAGAAAGAGGAGCAAGCTTTGAAGGCCTCCGCAGAAAATCATCCGACACCAAGAAGAGATAGAGGACGAGGTAGAAGCAGAGGGAGAGAAAACAATGATCGTGAAAACCATCAACACCACCAGCACCAAGAAAATCAATTTCAAGGAAGATGAAGAGGAAGAGGAGGCCACCACTCAACATCTTATAAACCAAAGTCAGCAAAGAAGTCCAATGTTGAATACTACAGATGCCATAGGTATGGACATTATCGGTCAGAATGTCGAACTAATTTAAATAGACAAAGTGGAGAGAAAACTAACTTTGCAGAAAAGGAAGAAGAACTGTCTCTTTTGATGACGTGTCATGTGAATGAAGAAACAAAACAAAACATGTGGTATTTAGATACTGGCTACAGCAACCACATGTGTGGAGATAAGAAGGCGTTCTCTGAGCTTGACGAATCGTTCCACAACACTGTCAAGTTTGGTGACAACTCCATAGTTTCCGTTATGGGAAAAGGAAGGATAACTATTCAAAATAAGGGAAATTCTACCCACACTATCTCTAATGTTCTTTTTGTCCCTGATTTAAAAAGCAATTTGCTTAGTGTGTGTCAGCTGCAAGAGAAAGGGTACGAGATTTCTATAAAAAAAGAAATATGTCAGATTCGAGATGCAAAGTTAGGCTTATATGCTCATGTTGGCATGACGGCAAATCGTATGTTCCCACTTTATCTCCACAACATCACTCATTCGTGCTTCTCAGCAAAATTGAAGGATGTTGCATGGCTATGGCATTTTCGCTATGGTCACCTAAACTTTAGTGGATTGAAGATTCTACAACAGAAAAATATGGTGACTGGTCTACCTCAAATTAAAACTCCCTCTGAAGTTTGTGAAGAATGCATCGTTAGCAAACATCATCGTAATTAATTCCCACAAGGAAAATCATGGAGAGCAAAAAGGCCATTGGAGCTAGTTCACTCTGACCTGTGCGGGCCAATTAATCCATCTTCCAATGGAGGTAAATGATACATAATTTACCTTCATTGATGATTATAGTCGAAAAATATGGGTCTATTTTTTGCAGGAAAAATCTGAAGCTTTTGCAGCCTTTAAAAGCTATAAAATACTCGTTGAGAAAGAAGTTGGCAGCCCCATAAAAGTTCTTCGCATTGATCGTGGTGGAGAGTACAACTCACATGAATTCTTAAATTTCTGTGAAACTCATTGAATCAAGAGGCAACTTACAATAGCCTACATGCCCCAATAGAACGGTGTGTGCAAAAGGAAAAATTGCACTATTATGAATATGGTGTGAAGTCTTTTGACAAGGAGCGGCATTCCGAAAAATTTCTAGCCAGAAGCAGTTAACTAGAGCATACATATTTTGAACAGAAGTCCCACTCTTGTTGTCCAAAATATGACGTTGGAGGAAGCTTGGAGCGAATGAAGACTAGCAGTGGATCATTTCAGAATTTTTGGGTGTATTGCTTATGCCCATATTCCTGATGAAAAAAGGAAGAAGCTAGACAATAAAGGAGAAAAATGTATTTTTCTTGGTGTTAGTGATCAATCAAAAGCTTATATACTTTACAATCCCATCAGCAAGAAAATTATTATCAACCGCGATATTATTTTTGATGAAAAAAGAACCTCGTCATGGAACGAGAACAATGTTCAGCAACAAATTCCCATAGATTTCGATGGTGATGAAGAGAAAATGCAGCAACCTATGGAGACAGTGCAACAACCAACACCAATCACTCAAAACGATCCTCAAAGTCCGCCTGTAAATGAAGTAGTCGTAGAACAAAGGCCTCAATGACAAAGGAAAAGGCCTATATGGATGATGGATTATGAGGTAACTGATTCTGATGAGTCTGAAGAATACCCACTCACACATTTTGCTTTATTTTCAAATTGTGACCCTATAGTTTTTGAAGAAGCTGTAAAAGAAACAAAATGGCGAAAGGCTATGGATGTAGAAATTGCTGCTATTGAAAGAAACAACACTTGGGAGTTGACAAAACTTCCCAAAGGACAAAAGACCATTGGTGTGAAATGGGTGTACAAGACAAAATTGAAGGAGAATGATGAAGTTGACAAGTACAAGGCACGCTTAGTAGCTAAAGGCTATAAGCAAGAATTTGGTGTGGACTACAAAGAAGTTTTTGCTCCTGTGGCAAGACATGATACAATCAGACTAATGATTGCATTGACAACTCAAAATTCATGGCCTATCTTCCAATGGGACGTGAAATCGGCATTTTTGCATGGTGATCTGCATGAACAGGTATTTATTGATCAACCTCCTGGTTATGTGAAGTTTGGAAGTGAACATAAGGTTTATAAGCTAAAAAAAGGCGTTATACGGGCTAAAACAAGCACTACAGGCTTGGTATAGTCGTATTGATGCTTATTTTTTAAAGGTGGGATTTATAAAAATGTCCATACGAGCATACACTTTTTATTAAAATTGGTGATGGAGGAAAATTTCTCTTTGTGAGCTTGTACGTGGATGATCTTATTTACACTAGAAATGATAGGGTCATGTTTGACAAATTTAAGAAGTCTATGATGGTGGAATTTGATATGTCTGATCTTGGAATGATGCACTATTTTTTTGGTATTGAAGTGATTCAGTCTGCTGCTGGTAATTTTATTTCTCAAAAGAAGTATGTGCAAGAAATTTTAGACAGATTTCAAATGAAGAACTGCAATTCTATTAGTACACCAACTGAAGTGGATCTGAAGCTCATGAAAGATTCTGAAGGAAAAAAGGTTGACAACACTCTTTTTAAGCAAATTGTGGGAAGTTTGATGTACTTGACAGCAACAAGGCCAGATATCATGTATGCTGTGAGTCTCATTAGTAGGTACATGGAGCGTCCAAAAGAAATACATCTTCTAGCAGCCAAGAGAATCTTTCAATACTTGCAAGGAACCGCTGAGTATGGGTTGTTCTACAAGAAGGGTGAAAAGTCAGATTTGTTTGGTTTTACAGACAGTGACTATGCAGGTGATCTTGATGATAGAAAGAGTACGTCTGGTTATGTATTCATGATGGGTTCAGCAGTTGTTTCCTGGTGTTCAAAGAAGCAACCAATTGTTACTTTATCAACAACTGAAGTTGAGTTTGTGGCTGCAACTGCATGTGCTTGTCAAGCTATTTGGTTGAGAAAAATTCGTGAGGAGCTGCACTTCAAGCAACGAGAACCTACTCCAATTTTTTGTGACAATACCTCAGCAATCAAACTCTCTAAAAATCATGTTCTTTCCTTTGAATTATTCGGGTGAAAAGTGAAAACATCATTCATTCTCTCTCTTTTATCAACACCAAAAAAGATGAGGAATACAATAATTTATACCAACAAATGAACAAAGCATACATGCATGTTCTATATTAATTTCTCTGGTTTCTTTTCGGATTCATAGCTTGGAATATTACCCATATAGAACCTAAACTAAGCCACCTAAACCATTAATACCCCGTTTGATTTGTGGAAATAGGGGTCTGGAATTGGAATTGGAATGGGCTATTTCCATTCCAATTGTTTAATTAGGTGGAATTGGAATTCCATTTCTGTTCCTACTAGAATGGCATTTCTTCATTTGGGGGAATGGCCATTCCCTGCCCCTCCCATGAAAATAAAATTTCATTTTTACTGATTCCAATTTCATCCCCATCATTATTTGAACCAAACAGACTATGGGAATAGACCATTTTGATTTTGATTTCAAAAGATTTTGATTCTAATTGTAATTCCAATTCCAACCACGGACCAAACAGACCCTAAGTTTCTATCCCTAAAATGTCTCTGCACTTGTCTTAAAGCCTCCATCCACTTTAAACCTTTACCCCCCCTCTGCCCTAATTCTTGTAATTCTATGTTTACTGTTGTTCATGTTATGCTAGAGTCCAGCCTGGTAGTGTCTTTGAGATTAATCTCAGAACACCCATATCTAGGGGTGCTCAGGGTTCGGGTAACCAAATCATGGGCCATTTTTTTGAATTGAACCAGTAATATTGGTTTTTGGAAAATCGGTAATCACAATTGAACCGAAACCAGTCGGTTAATCGGTTGATCGATTTGGTTCACTGGTTTTTTGGTTGTTTAGTTTTTATAATATATATTATAGAAATATATATAAATATAAAATAAAACATTATAAATATATAATATTATATTTTAAATAATAAATAATATATTATAAATATATATTTATATATATATAATGCATATTTATTAATTTATAATATATAAAATTATATAATATACATAAATATATATAAAATATATAGAAAAACATGTATACTGATCAGTTCGATTAACCGCCGGTCTTTTATATTGATTAACCAAAACTGAACCAATGATTCGGTTTCGGTCGATTCGGTTTTTCAAATTTTTTTGCTCACCCCTACACATATCTATCCTACGTTATATATAATTTGGGACTTTATGTTTTATTGGCAGATTATCATCTGGAGATCTTCCCCTTCTCAATTCTAGCAAATTAAAAAGTTGATTGGTTGCAACAGTCAGCAACGTCAATAGCCAGCTGAAATTTCTGTCACTTTTGAATTTCCTTTATTAATGTAAGCTGGTAGGGGTGTTTTGGTTTTTGGATATTCAGCAGTCCAAGATTTCTTAATTCCATATCTAACTTTTATGTATACTTCATAATTTTCAACTTGAATCTCTATCTTATTTTAGTGTAATTCTACTTTCTTCAAATTTCCCTTAAGCTTTCTTTATTCTATTTTTGAGTTTTTGTTCTATACTTACTATACCTTTTATTTTTGACGGTCCAACAAGCTAGTGCGCCTCAAGCAAATAAAGTAGGAAGTGAATTTTAGATCTCTCTCTAAATTTGGTAAACAAGTCTGAGATACATAACATAAGAAACCAAAATATAAAAAACAAAAGAATAGATATCCTTGTAATTTCTTATGGGCTGGACTTTTATGTAATCAGTCTAAGGACGGGGTTTGGGCCACCCACTTTGCAATACAGTGGGCTCTCAGGCCACTATCTTGACAAATTGGGCTGGACTTATTAGTGAAAGACCAAACATGATGCGGAGTGTGGATATCGGGCTCGTGGGGTTTCTGGGTGAACGGGTGAAGCACTGCATTGAGTTGGATCATGGATCATGAATGTGGTCTGACCGGGACAGGCAAGGCAATTAGCAGGACCTGGTGTTTTCAGGTTTTATCAGTTTGTATTACTCCAGTCCAGAATATGACTTTGGCTGCTATGAAGAGGAGACATGTTGGCCAATTTGACCAGTAAATCACAGGATTAATGTACTCTCATCTCAAATTTGGTGAATTGTATAAACACCATCATCATACTGAGCTGCTGCTTCTTTTTCTCTCTCTACACAAGATGAGATGATCATTTTAATCTTTTTGCTAGGCGGCCGGCTCTGAGGTTACGTGTTCCAATTATTGTCCTATTTTTTGGCCTTACAATAATTATTGTCCTCGATTGTGTCGAGAACACTTATTTTGATCGTTTCCCGTTGGCATTTTATTAGGATGCTGATTCCAGGAAGTTTCTCTCTCTTTCTCAGAAAAGAGATAAGAGATGCTGCGCGCACAAACGCTGTACCAAAATTGATGAGCACAAAAGTTACAAGAAAAATGGTGAGCATACTACTGATTTTACTTATGATCCTTACAGGTTACTAATCCATCTTATACCACAAATTAAGAATAACAATTGAAGGGCCCACTTGGAATGACAATACCCACTTAGCAAGTCTACAAATTTCACCTCCACATATTCACTTATGGCCTGATGAAATGAATACATGAAATCATGCATGACCAATGAAGAGGGTCTCTTATCTAATGAACGTGCTCAACATCTACATCACACGAACGAACCTTCCACATATCAGTGAGGGGGCAGAGGGAGAGGAGGAAGGGGCGCGCTTGGGCCCGGTTGTTGGGTGAATCCTTCGGTTTTTCTTGTTGTGTGTTTGGTTTGAAGGGAAAAGTAGGAAAAGAAAGAGAAAGGTAGAAAAACTTTTACAAATCTTGCATAGATTTTTCTCCCTTTCCCTTTCTTTCCTTTCCTTTTCCTTCAAACCAAACATAAACTTGGAATTTGGCTGTCGTTCCCCGGTTCATGGTTTCCAGTGGGATATTTACTATGTTTTGTTGTAGGCTGAATTTAGTGTTGCTTACACGTATGGCTGTAAAGCTTTTTTAGTTTTGTTTAGGTTCCGAGCTTTTCTGAGCCAATCTGTTAGCTGTTGGCTAGTGTCGCTGTAAATTCTCTTTTTTCTTTTAATAATTTTTTTTTCCTTTTATTCTTCAAAGAAAAAAACAATCTTCCACATATCAAGATTAGGCCCAACAGCCAAACAATTCCTTTCTTCTGGGGAAATTTGGATGGCTATTTTATAAGGGTGATGTACTGGTTTGAAGGTCCAAGCCCATTCAAGGCGCAGCCTCTGTCATTCTTCCAGGTGTAGGGCCTGCGATGGATGGACGGTTGGATAAGCCACGTGGCATAGAAGAAGAAAAGTCTTTTAGAGAGGAAGCTGAAGTGAGAACTGATATGTTAGAAGTGCGATGCACGTGGTAGGTCACACCAACCATGACCATAAGATGTGCCTCTCTGTATCAGTTGTCACTTCTGCTTACGGAGTGGACTTGAATTGCAACAAAGTGTACAGTCTTGGGTCCATGACATCGTGGTCCTGATCCAGGCAGCCAGTGGTTTGGGTTCTCTGGTCCATCAAATGTTTTTCCAGTAGCTGTGAAATAAAGCCCATATGTGATATGCCTGAAAAAATGAAAACCAAAAACAGAAAAAGGAAGGTTCTTGCAGTGAAAATTTAAACTACATACAAATTTTTAACCTTGTTCAATTTTATATTCATTTGTTTGTGGCTATGCTTTGTATTTTTACTTGGTGCAAAATTTGTTCTTTTTATCTCGTTTAGAATGGCATAAATTTTGCATTCCAAAAACTGATGCAAAATTTCCACCACTTTCCTTTTACCTTAGTTTTATTTCATATTAAAGTTGAGGACCATATCATTTTCCTTCCTATTTTATTTCTTACAACCAAGGTTCAAAGTATCGATACGATACGATCGTATCGGTACTTAAAAATGGCCGAAACTTTATTTTTTTAGTTTTTTTTCTTTTTCACATTTTGTTTTTTTTTTGGGAAGCTTTTAACATACTTTTTATTATTAAAAAAAAAATTGGGGGTACCATATCTTTTTCAAAAGATACGATATGATACGCCCCGTATCGGGCGTAACGTATCGATATTTTGAACCTTGCTTACAATCAAACAAGACAAAGTCAAAACATATTTTGGTAAAAAGATAAAATCAAATATGAGATAAAAGTACACGAAAATTTACATTTAGTCTATTTGCACTCCCTCTGCACTAATGAAAATGAAATTCACACTGCATGCAGACAATCAGAGCCTAAAAGAAGAGAGAAGTCCGAACTCTCCAAATCAACTCAACTCTGAATCTTATGGCTCTGTTTGGTTTAAAAGAAAAAATAGGGAAAGGAAAGAAAATGTAAGCAAATCTTTACAAACGTTGTATAATTTTCTTATGTTTCCCTACCTTTTCCATCAAACCAAATATCACCTATATGTAAATTGTGAACTTCAACAGTCCAACTAAGTATGGGTCTTTCTCTTATTTACAAACTATTCGTTACAGTAATGAATAGGGATTCAAATGGATCCTTCTATGTCCAATCCAATTCACTCCAACTTGATTTGTTTTAAATTAAGATATACGTTTATCTATTAGTAAAGTTGGTTTGAATGTTGTGATTTTAATAAAAAGAACCATTCAAATAATAAATATCAAAAATATTTTTAATTCATTTTATTAATTACATATAACATTTTGATTTGATCGTTTTTAATTTATTAAAGCTGTGTTTGGGGGCTTCTAATAAGTGATTCTAGTGCACATTGCATTCAAAAAGCCTAAAACACTCCAAAATCACTCAGGATCTGCTCCCCGCAAATTATTTGGACATCTCTATCAATATAACACTATCGCTGTGCATGTATATGGAATATCTCCTGAAAAGATAAATATTTTCAATGCACAGTTGTAATGTTGTATCGATAGGGATGGGGAAACTAGTTGGCAGCAGATAGAAAGCCCCCAAAATAATATTTGGTAGAAAAGCTGCAAACGGGCTTTTCTTTTGGACCCAATATCCCATACTGCTAGCTTTTTACGTTTGTGAAAAGTGTGTTTTCATATTTTTCAGAAAAAGAAAAACCCCGATAGAAAAATACCTCACCAAACGCACCCTAATATTCTTATTATAATTAGAATTCAATTCGAATCCTAATAAAGTAATCAAATTTGGATATCCAATCTGTTTGCACTTTGCAGTAGCCAGCTCTGACAGTCTAGTAACGAAACCCCAGTCCCCCACCCCACGTGTAGGTTGTCGTTTAATGCACATGCACGTTGCCATAATGTATGGGGGAAAGGAGAGGTCAAAGTAAAAGGTGACAAATCAAACTTGGAGTTTTGTAGATATAAAATCAAAGCTATAATTAAGGCGGTTCCAATCAAGACTTTTCTCCCGCAAGAGGACATCAGATCAGTAACATCAGTTCTTCCACCTTCACAAATCACAGAGTTGAAACTAGACCTGGCAATTGGGTTGGGTGGGTTCGGTTCGGATTGGGTTAAGTTATTTTGTTGATTTCGGGTCGGGTTGAATTTCGGGTTGGATGATTAAATGCTAGACCCTAACTTTAAATGTTCGGATTATGATTGATCCATGGGTTAATTTGGGTCAATAATTGAAATTTAAAAAATAACGAAATTTATATAAAAATGTCAAAATTAAAAAAATTAATCTTAAAATTCCAAATATAAAATAAAAATGTTGAACATTTAACAATTTAAAGAGTAAACAATAAAAAGTAAAGACTAAATCGAAAAAATTAAAGAGTGGAAAATTTTAATAATACATAAATAATCCTAATTAAACTTGACAATCGGGTCAACAGGTTGATCCATGACCCAACCCAACCTAACCCAGTTTTTTTCAGGTTGGGTCAAATCGGGTCATTTTCACATTCGGGTAGTTAAATATGAGACTCTAACCCTATTTTTTTTCGGATTGAGTTAGATCGGATTTGCAGGTTGGGTCAATTTTTGCGAAGTCTAATTGACACAGACACATGGACATCGACAAAATGCTTTTATTAAGCAATTGTGTAAGCTAGCCACACACCTCGCTACTAATTTTACCTTCACAGAAGAAAATCATGGTCAAGACAGACCAAAACTGAATTATCGCATTTTAAAATTTGAAGACCAAAGCAACACTAGACAAGAATTTTCCTAATTAAAATTTCGTCATCATCATGATGGTTAATGAGGTTTCAACAGCTCGAGTTGAGAAGGACATCCAAATGGCAAAGTCCCTGGGTTTGCAGATTTGGGGCGGGGAGGAAGGGGCATGGCCAGTTGTTAGTCTCTCTTGGATCTGATGTTTGGATGAACCCTTCGATCGATGAAGACTCATGCGGATGAGAGTTTTTCTTGGAGTTTGGTTGTCGTTTCCTCGGTTTGGGGTTTCGACCGGGGATGTTTGTTCTGTTTTGTTTCAGGTTGGAAATAGCGTTGTTTACATGTTTGGTTTTAGAGCTTCTTGAGTTTTTGTTTGAGGTGCCGGTAGCTTTGTTGAGCCGCTCTGTTTGGCTACCTATTGTCGCTGTAATTACTTCTTTTTTGTTTAACAAAATTCTCTTTTTATTCTTACAAAAAAAAGATGGTTAATGAGGTAAACATCAAGTCATCAACCAGAATCGTGGAGCCTCAACACATAATTTGATAGATGAACTGAACAGTGAAATTGTCTAAACGTAACACGAACAGAGTTGTCATTAATCGTTACTAAGGCTGTCTTTCGTTGCAGTGCAAATTTATTTGCATTAATATAAATGTAAGGAGTGCAAATATAAAAAATGTAAATTCTTAATTAATTTTGTTTTGGATTTTATTTTATTCTATCTCTTGTCTTAATTTATTTTATTTGTACTGCAATCAAACAAAATAAACTAAAATTTAAAACAAAAATAAATCAAAATTTACACTCAAATAATTTGTACTGTCATGATTTTACATCAGTTCATGCAAGTATTAATTCAGTTGGAATCTCCTATTCACAAAATTCCTACCCAATTAATACAGTTGTATATTGGGAACGTCTCCCCATAAATGATAATCAGAGATATTCTTAATATACAATTAGTGACTTGAAAAGAACTTTCAGCCCTTAATATCCACCATGAAAAATTATTGTACCTACAATTTAGTAGGAGCCAACATTTTCTCGAGATAGCTGCAAGTATGGTTTGTGGGTAAGAGATCTAAAATGCATATCAACCATATATGATATTTGGATTTAACTTTTATGATTTGTGTATAAGTCAAAGCAAGTATCTACCATATATTATAGTTATAGGTTATATTAATGTAATACATTAAGGTAGGTCGCCCTTCCAATATTGATTAAGAATCAAGCAAAATCTCACTGGATCTGTAGGGGTATAGTGAAGTAGAGACCATAGCATTTAATGAAGGCGTCAAATGTGGGGTAGAACATGAATCTTACCAAGTCATAATTGAAAATAATGCTCAATTAATACTTGTAAAGCAAAACCATCCTGCCAAGGAGTCTAAATCTCCTATTAACAAAACACATTCCAACACCTTACCAACATGATTTGATACCACCTATCTCATATATGGCAAATCCTACTTTTATGGTGGTTTCCAGTCTCATGGTTGAGATGTACCGTATCAGGTTATGTTGATAGGGTGTTGGCAGGAAATCCCATCTCCCTGCTGAGATCAAATACCTACATCATCACTTGCTGTCTGCACCCCAACAATGCATGCGCAGCTTTACTACTCTTATATTCCAAATTTTCAATCAAGGGCTAGCTCTTAATATTTGATAATTAAGAAAGGGAGGTTCATCACTTGTGTGTGGATGTTACATTGGAACAATGGACACACCTTCTCTCTCCAACCCCTTGCTTGGAGCATGGATTCAGTCCTGCCAAAGCCATCATCATACCGTCTTCATAGCCCCTTGCAACTGTGTATTGAGAATATCTCAACATGAACAACAATATATAAATATAGAGATATTTTCAATGCATGACTGCAAAAGGCTGCTAGAAGGGTGTGAGGTCAGACCAAGTGCAAATTCCCTTGCTCGATGCCGATATTCCTTCTCCCGCCTCCTCTTTTCAATCACATGATGTTAATTAATACAAATGCCAACATATGAATGGTTCTCTAAAAAAGGACTCTGGATCTCATGCCCATGATAACTCTGCCCATATCTATCCATAACACACTATTCCCGTAGATTGAGAATATCTCTCTTTGCATAATATTATGTAGGAGGATGAGATATTCTCCATTTGTGACTGTGATGTTATGTTGGTAAACGTGGGCAGAATTTATGTGAACAGGAGATCCAGATTCAAAAATAAAAAAAAAAGGGTTTGAACTTGTTATTTTTCGTGAAATGTGAGAACTTGTTATTTTCGTGAAATGTGAGTTGTGAATAAAGCAGAGAGATAAGGGCCAGCACAAGATGCCTATATATAATGTACCGTATGAGTTATGGCATCCCCAAATTAGTGGCCCAAGTTTTGACGACATGCTCAATTTTGGTTCCTCTATAGTCTAAATTTCTCCGGTCTCCATCATTTGTGAAGATGTTAAAACCGCAATGTGTTAATCTGAATTTCATGACGTGAGTTATGCATAGCCACAATATATATGTGCACAATAAAAGAAAAGGGGGGCATCGCTATCGCTCACGATTCTGGTTAATAAAAAAAGTAAACCAAGTGATAGGGTGGATGGCACTAGTCTCTCCCTCTGCCAATAAAAAATGCCCATCAAATCATCATCATCAGTCGCACATTGATTGGCATTTTGTTTTGCATATGCAAACGCTAATTGTCCTTTAATAATTTACTCTTTACAATAATTTAAGCTACTTAAAAGTTTAATGATTGGGCCTTAACGCCAGCCTGTGCACCGTTGTCTCCACCCCACACAGATTAGATATGTACATAAAGCGAGAGAGATTTCTTGACAAGAACACAAGCTTTCCTGTTTTTCTTTTTTTTTTTTTTTAGAATTAACTGTGTAGTTATTTAGACCAATTTTTTGACAGCTTTCACTTTTCAAAATAACAATAACTTTTCAAATTTGGTGTCTTCCCTTCCGGAAGGAACAGAGATAAATTATTGTACGACTTGACACATGAAATCCAAACAAAAATCATCAGAACCGATCGAGCAGACCCGCACCCTCTCCACCTCCAGAGTCCAGACTTTGGCCTGGCCATCGTTCCAAAATCGAAACACACACATACGCACATATACATACGAAGCGGCGCAGAGCAAGCATCCATCACAACTTCCGCCTTTTAGCTGGAGTTCACCTTTCTACAGTTCACTCGGATCTGTCCCTTCTTTCCAGTCAGCGGCTTTATATTTCCCATTTTAATCATAGACTTGGCAAAAGCCGCTGAGAAAGCTTTGAAGTTGGTGCTGTAGGTCTTCACCAGTGAGTCAGTTGAGCCACCATTAAATAATTCCTGATCCGAGTGAAGGAGACCCTTTCTCTTCACTAAGTTGGTAAAATATACCGTATCGAAGAGTGACCGTGTGTGGTCTAGGGGAGCAAAATTGTTGTCACCTCCAGAGACGGGGCAAATTGCTTGTCTTGCACGAGCGTAGCTTGGATGGATGTTTGTGTCATTGTAAATGCGGCTTCTGAAGATAATGCACCGTGCTAAGCCGATTGTGTGTCCACCCGACAGCGCCACTAGGTCTTTTCTGTTCAGCCCTTGATTCTTAAAGTTACTGATGAGTGTGGAAAGGTTCGAAAATGGGGAGGGAAGGTTGACGGTAGCCAGGGTCCTGTTCGCAGTGGTCGAGTCTCTCCTCCCTAATAGCACCTTCCATGTTGGCCCACCTAGCTGCAGATGATGTTTCCAATACATTTTTCATGAGTATATATAGATCTAGTTTGATCAAACACTGTTAACCATGGATCTGATATATAGCTGGCTGAAGAAAAAAAAACAGAAATAATTGAAATAGTGAAGAGGTGTTCGATTTGTATTGTAGTTTTCAAAGTGGATAAAACAGAATATTTTCTTCAAAGACGATGACCAAGAACATTTAAGCTAAAATCAAGTATTGCCATTTCAAAAATGGCAATAGGGAGACCAATGAATCCAGTAGAAGTGTTTCAGATGTTGTCATTATTGTTGTAAACAACTGTTAATTTGATCATATATATATATAGAAAGCATTTCATCTCTAATTGGAAAAACAGAATTCATAGTTATAGAATGGTATGTAACTTGTGACTGAAGAACATTTGATACCCACCGCAACCACAGAGTCGCGAGCTGCAACAGCCAAAATATCCGCGCAGGACACGACTGGACCTCCGCAAGCTTTGTCTACGGCAGATTTAATTTTATCGACGACATTGAATCCTCTAACAGAGTTGTTATTGGGAGGAGCAGTCTTCTCGCTAAGAAAACTGGAAGTGCGATCTAGCAGAATTGAAGCATCACAACCCTACATAACAACAAAGAGGATAAGTAGAGTTGTATATATATGCAGGAAGACATATGCCACCCCCAAACCATGATTACTGTGGAATACATAGCAACATTGTATCTTATATATATAGCGTAACAGTTTCATAATTCTTACATTAACGAAGCAATCATGGAAATGAAGACGAAGCAATGAAGCACCCATGCGAGTCTCCTTCTTCACAGCTTCCTCTACGATTTTCTTAATGGTTGGCAAGGCCTGGGGACATACTTTATTGTAGAAAGTTGGTGAGAGATTTGCAGAGAAAGCTGCGGTTGCTAGAGCAACCATGATCAAAACACGCAGGTACATCATGCTACGTGAAGCCATATCTCTTGCTTAAGGCTCGATGGTTCGACGATGCGCTTGTCTTTGAGTCTTAAAATGCCATTGCTATTTATAGATAAAAGGATAAGCGGGAGAGAGAGAGAGGATGCATATACTTGAATCTGCATTTGGGTTAATTATGCCACCTGGTTTGCTTTTCAACCAAGTACACGTGGCAAACCAAACTAGAAGCAGCTAGTTGGAGCAATGCATGTAACGCCTCAGTTACACCAAATATTAATATACTAAAATATTATTAGAACCATGGTAATATTCTTGGGATCGATTAAAGGTAGCTATCGTTCCTATCATTAAGCAGCTTTATTAATTTGGGGACGAGGGTGGGGTTGGGTTGGGGGTAGCGACTAGCTGTAGGTGGTCTAATGGAGCTGAATTTTACTATAAATGATGATTGATGAATGTGCATATATCCCATCAATCACCAAGGACCATGTAATCTGATCTATACCCTGTAGGGAGTGCTTGTAGCTAGCCAGGAAAATTAAGCAGATGAGATGGTGAGGTGACTTGCTGCTGGAAAACAACTGAAGGAGACGGCCAACCACTCTTGGCGCTTTGTATAATTAATGCTTCAATTATTATTTTATTTCTTTAATACTTATTGCGTTATTTTTTTGAGGGAGCCAAAGGAAGGAAGATTGATTGGTATTGGAATTTACGTGTATGAAATGATGAAGAGTCCTCCTATATTCTCAAGTTCTGAACTAAAAGACACATAGGCAAGGTCTAGCCATCCAACCCTAGTTAATGGTCAATCAATGAAATCGTTTACTACTTTTTTCATTGGACAATAGTGATATAGTGATTTGAGTGTAAAATCTATTTTACTTTTATTTTAAATTACATATGAATTGTAAGATAAAGCAAAATCCAGAGCCAAGGAATAAATCATTTTTTTTTAACATTTGCACTCTCATCGGATTGATCACATGCAAATTTTGAATTGATTTTTCCCCTTTGAAAAGGCGTTGCTATTAATATATTACAGTAAGCATTCAGAATTAAGATTGACACAATGAGAAAAAAATGAATCGATTAAACCCCTTGGTTAAATTACTGACGATATATTCATATTACAGAGAGAGAGACAGAAAGGCCGCCTTGCCCTTCCTACTGATCGATAAAGATAAAATGCCAACCTCTTTCTACAAGGACACAATGCCAACCTCTTTCCACAAGGACATGTATGGCTTGGCTTAACGCCGCCCTCTTACTTTAGGAGTCGAACGAATACAGAGGAAGACAGAGACTGGCCCCATTGGGGCCGGGGTAACCCTCCAAAACAACACAACTAAAAATATTCAACTAATTTGCAATAATATAGTACACCTTCTCTAATTTTTAATTTATTTTCGTGGCCTAACTTTGTAATATATCCCAACCACCTCACTTCTACTTGTCGACTCTCATCTCTCTGGCCAACTTGTTTCACTGCCTGTAAATCACATAAATTAGACTGACTGTTACTACCGGCCGGATTATGTGCATACGGATCGATCTCAGTAATACATCCGTTTATAAAGCAATAAAACCCGGATCCACCCAAACTTCCTCCAATGTTATAATATTTATATACTAAATTAATTAAACATGGGTTTGGATATCATGTTTTTATAAAAAATGCGATGTTCCAAATCTATTATATATTGAACCGGTGACCCAAACTTCTCTGCCTTGTGTTTTTCTTAAACTGTTTTGCTCATTTCACTGGGTGAATTGTCCCGTTCGCTGAAGCGACCAATCTGCTACCACTCTAACTTTCTCAGTAGACATCTGGTTCATGTATTCAGAGATGTAAAATTGTAGTCTGATCATGTATGGTTATTTTTAGCTGATTTAACTGATGGCATTCAATATATATATATATATATATATATGTATATACATCAGGTCTAATTTTAGACCAACTCAGATCATGTAATAGGTAACCGGTCCTGAGCCAACCGGGCCGGTGACAGCCCTATATATAAAATCCATACAAATTAGAAAATAAAGAATTATCGCGGATAATGTGTCCATACATGTAGAGACAATTAGTTAAACGATTATTGTGTCCCAGACTCCCCACAACGTAAAAGCAAAGCTTAAAAAGCAAGATATGTCCTCCAACCCATGTTACTTCGTTTTTATTGTTTGTGTCGTTTATATATCATGTCTTGTCTCCCTCTTCGATATCGTCGGAAGGAGCAACTGTTATGACGATAAGACTTGGTCTTTGTAGTAATAAATATAAAACAACAACCTACACTTGATCTTTGTTTATAATATAAGTTCGTACCATGCATGCATGGGATGGCACAGCCTAACTAATTAATTAACCTTGTTGACCAACCGACATTGATATTTCAATATTTTTATATAAAAAATCATTATATAATCTGCAAACCAAGTGGATGATTATCACATTTTCAAAATTTCTTTTTTTATTCTTTTAGATATTTATCTTCATTTTACTTTCCTTTAAAAATAAGGGTCTGTTTGGTTCACAATTGAAATCAAAATTAGAATCTGAATGGTCCATTCCCATATTTTGTTTTGTTCAGATAGAAATCAGAATATAAATTAGAATCAGCAATAATGGGATTTCATTCCTAAGAAAAAGTCAGGGAATGGCCATTCCCTCAAATGGGGAAATGCCATTCCAGCAGGAATAAAAATAGGATTCTATTTCCACTCAACCAAACAATAAGAATTGAGATAGCCCATTCTGATTCCGATTCCAAAACCCTATTCCCATAAACCAAACGGGCCTAATATACAATCCCTAATTCCCTACTGCGGAGTGAGGTGATGAACAAAACAATACAAAACAGTCTCTATCTCATGGACAATTCCATAAGAGACTAGATCGAGTAAGCTGGGAGACCAAGAAAAATGGTAACCTTATGTCTACTACTTCAGTGCGAAACGATTGATAGAGACATACTACCGAGTCCATGTATCGCTATTCGCTAGTCTACCACACCCTTGGACCATGCTTGTGTCTCTCGCACCCACGCTTTTTAAGAAAAAAAAAAAGTAAGAAAGCAACAAAAGAGCTACCCGCTGTATGTCAATTTCTTCAAAATAATTCAAGATCCAAATGATGCACAAGTGTCTTGTATTAGAAGGAACATATTGCAAACAAAGCATCGAGGAACCTGATTTCATGAATTTAGTAGGGTGATTTTTGCAAGGATTCTTCGGTGGATCGGGTGAAGGCACAAATTACCAAACTTTTTATCTTTTCTTGCTTTCTTTTACAACATTATAGAAATGTTCATAGCATGTGGTGTTTTTTTTTTTTTAATTTTTTAAAGAAGTTAAGTTATGAGCAAATGATTTATTTTAAAATGTGGTTTGAATTTTGATTAAAATAGAACATGGGATCACCATGCTCCGGTTGGCACAGCAGGTCCACCTAGTCCTGTCCCGAGCAGCACCATACCTGGGCCAAGGATTTTGTGTACAGGCGTAGCTGGGCCTTCGCTTGGTAGTGAAGAATAGAAGAAGTTTGGACAGCAAGTGATTTTGCGTGTAGCAACCTTAAGCTTGTTTTGAGCCCGCCCCACCATTCTTCATCCAAACCATATCCATGGAATAAGTTTGGACCCAAAGGGCCTTAGTGCCTTACCACACGTTTAATATTTGCTATTCTTTTTTTTTTTGTTTGTTTGTTTTTTTAATAAAAGTGAAAGTTTTGACCCGCATTATAAATGGATATAACACCAAGAGTAACTAATGGGTAATCAGAAGGGCTCAATCAGTCAATTGGTAAGTCTTTGGAGACGTGAGATCATATCCTGCCATTACCGGGGTTGGGGTGGTTATGAGTTTTGGGGACGAGCTACAACTTTATCTAACGCCATGAAGCCAAAATGAGAAAAGAAACAGTGAAATATATAGGGCCATTGGAAGGGTCAGATGACGACTCTACGTTGTATTAATACTTTAATAGATAGGCCTTATAACAGTATTTGTGCATTTATGCGATCGGGCAGGGCTTATCACCTATGGTAAGAAGGCTAAAGGCTGGGCTTATCACCTATGGCCCAGATCAGGTTCACGGCATAGAGACCTAGGATAGTGAGATTCTCCGTACTACTCTCTTCTTTTGTTAGCAACTTTTGACTAAGTGTGATATGGGAACGTTGATATGCTGAATAAATCTGTTGGCCAAAATATGCTCAATACGTACTTTGTCTCCTAATTTTACATGTCTAACGATGGAAACGTGGGGTTAAACCATGGCCGCTTCTGCGTGAGTCACCACGTCGGACTTCCAATGAATTTGTTTTTGCTGTATCGTATCACTTTGTTCCATCTATCTGATCATAAAAGTTAAAATTGAAAAAAAGAAAAAAAAAAAAACAGCAATACAATTGCTTCTTCGTCTTGCTCAGATTCAGAAATATAGATTACAGAAGTCAGAAGTGATCATCAAAATGGGCTTTGCATTTGTTGGGAGTACCGGTATTCATATTGTATTGGATCATTTAGATACGAATGCAGATACATATACATTTTAGAAACACATTGATACCAACAAAAAAATATGAAAATGCTTTAATACGCTAAAGAATGTGTATAAATTCTACAAATAAATTAATGACGTTATATTCAAAATCAAAATAACCATAATTAATAGGGAAAATTCCCGAAAGGTAACCTGTACTTTAGGTTTAGTGCCAATTTAGTATCCGAACTTTAAAACGCAACAATCTAGTATCCAAACGTTCAAAATGTGACAGTTAAATACTTACCGTATATCACATGAGCTCATGTACGATTTAAGACTTTTGAAAATGTTAAAATTATTCTTAAAACTAAAATACATTGTTCATCTTCTTTAAACAGAGCCCAAGCTCTCTAACAGTCCAGACCATACGTTAAACGACAAATATTGTTGTGAGCGTTGCATCCCTTTTATTATCGTCGGTAATGGCTCCAATTGTCTTTTCGATGATTCTGGGTTTGAAGGTTGTGTTATTCTGAACCGGATTGACTTCCTAGAGTGGATCGAACCCGGCGTCTACAGAGTGGGAAGTGGTTACCAGTTCAATC